TTATAATCAACGATTTTTTCCCTCGTCAGCTTTGGTCATAATGGCTCTCGCGAGACGGCCAAGCTAGGAGCGTTGTGTTTGGTGGCAATGTGGCATTTTATTCCAAAACTAACGCGCGCACGCACACACCCGGTAGTATATTATATTATAAACGTCACGTCATACACACGTCATGTATACACACGTATAATATCGGCGGCATGTTTATATATAATATATACGTATATACGATGGTCCCGTGTGTGTAAGTGTGTTTTTTAAGGCGAGGCGGATAAAAAGTCGGCATATATGCGGTTTGCCAAGCCGCCTCGGGGTGCGTGCGCGTGAGAGTGCGAGCGTGTCTTCTAGCCGTGGCCTCGATCACACCCCGCTCCGGCGGCCTGCACGGGTCTCCGCGCTTTTTTTCTTCTACGATATATAAGATATAATATAATAATATGTAATATATAAGATGGACACACGAACACTTTTATAAATATATACGTTATGGAGGTAACATCGAGTGGCAGATACTGTAAAATATATAATATTATAGAGGCAGGTAGAGTACCCGCGTGCATTGTATACGACCGAGCACGCGTCTAATATAATATAATAATAAGACGAGCGGAGCGAGGGCGGATCGTAGTGCATAAACTTCTTCCTCGTCGTCGTAATCGCGCGAGACGCGGACTCCGCAATAACATTAATTGGCGCCGCGGTTTCGAGGAGACAAATTTATCATCGTTGTTCGAATCATCGGGACATCACGTGCATTAGACATTTAAATGTCACAAACCGGTACCGTTGAGAAATAAGCTGTCGGTCGAAATTTAAAAAACAATGCGAACATTAAATGATTGTGATAATAATATGTATGTTATCTACGTATAGGTATAATAGGTAATATATTATATACCTATAGGTATATAGGTAGGTAGTCGTGTAGTACCCATACCTAGATTTTTCTTTTAGTCGTTTTTATATCATAAGGTATAGCGAGACTATGATTTAAAATTGTATATAATTAAATGTCAATATTTTGACAGCTCTACAACGTTTATAATATTAAAAACTGTAGTCGCCATAATATATATATATATATATATATATGTATATAAAGGTACGCGGATTAATAATGGCTTTAAACGTTTGACCCGCAATTTTACACACCGCCGTATTATTAAACGCATAATTTCGAGTTTATCGATTGAAAACAAATTGTTTCAATTTTCTGTACTGAAAAAACCCCACGGCGGAATTGAGTTATTTATCTTATTACTTAATAACCGTAAAAGGACGATGATACAGAAATGGTTTATATTATAGATTTATCTAAAATTGACCAGTGATGAAATTCGTACGAGAATAATTACTCGTAACTATAAGTAGTTTATGTACACATTACCTACTGTATGTACAAGTTAAAAGTTTTTTTTTTTTTTTAATTAGACATTAAATATCAAAGAAGCAGGATATATACATTATGTATTATTATTATTATGCTTTTAGCTATTCGTTGAACTCGAGCGTGGGTGGTATGTATATATATATATATTATTTGTAATGTATAAAGGTGTACAGCAAAAAAAAACACAAAATAACAGACATTTAACTCTCAATGCATCATACACGAGATATTATACGAATGACGATTACGTCTATATTATAAGTTATAACGTTTACACAGTTCGAGTAAAAGCGATTTTCAACGCCCACGATGAAAATATCAACATAATGTAGGTAATGACGAACGATATATTGTGTCATATGTAAGATTTTGTAAGTTTAAGTTTGATCAGTTGATATATTAATTTTGTTATCTTTCCTGCACATTACGACGGTGACAATTATAGCCGATAAACCCTATTTAGAGGCGTACGAAAATTTGTAATTTATAAATTTTATATAAACCTATAAAACACAACAAAATAACATTGGTATTTAATCTGCATATGACTCAATTTTGCAGACGACATGTTTAGAGGCGATCTTGGGGATAGATATAATAAAATAATAATATTAGTATTAGTCATTAGGACATGAGTACTTTAGTACTTACTTATTTGTGAACGTGCTTTTGTTTCGCAAAGAAGTTAAACACGTATCAGCAAGAAGGCGTTTTAAAAACGTGTCGAGTTAAATTAAAAATTATCAACCCGAGCTAGTCACATTGCTAAAAATGTTTTATTACATTTTAGATCTCCTCAATATTCTTAAATCTCCTCATCCAGTAAAATTTTGATTTTATTACCAAAGTACAACGTGAAGTATAATAAAATTGAGACTTTTTAGTAATTTACAAGTTAACAACGAATTTTAAATTGAGCCTTTTGGCTTCCAAAGTTCCAACGCGGGTTCTAACGTATTTACGTATATTATATAATAAGTAGGTAGGTAAAAACTAAAAACTCGTCGCAGGTCGCGACTTTTAGACACATTCACACGTCATGCGAAAAGTAACGGGAAAACTGACCATGACTTTAGATAACGATGTTATATTGTGATGGAGCCGCTCTCATTGTTAACGATATAACAATATAATAATAATACATTAATTGCACACATTTTAAGTGTATATAATATACTAAGTTTTAGATTCTAACGTGTGTTTAGAATATATCGACGATAATCACATTTCAATAAACTGTTTTAATCATATAAATAATATGCCACTATGATATCGATAACGAGTACCTAACCATTAACAATACATAATGGATGGAGTAAGTTGTTTAACAAAAGTTTAAAGGATACACTATACACCAATGAATTAATTGTTACCGGGTAATTAAGGAGCTCGCATTTATCTGTATATAATATAGTACTATGTTATTAATATTAGTACCTATATTATAAATTATAATCATGGTTATCTGTGATTGACAGTTGTTCAAGTTCAAAAATAATTACTAATCAAATCATTATACCTATTGGCTATTGGTATAAAATATTAGTTTCGTTTACCTTGGAATCACACGTAGTATATATACTATAATATATTATAGGTGTATCATATTATATTGTAGTGACATAGCACTTATTGCTTGGTTACTTTTCTATATTATATGTATCATATAATATTGAAGTATAAATATTTTGTATTTTAAGCAATATTTGACTAAAGTTGGAATTCAAATTTTTGAAATATATAAAAAATAAATAATCGGGTCGAACCGGCGCTGTGATAAAGAAACATAATTTGAACTTGGGACGGCGATATCGAAAAATTTAATAGATACGAACCAATGTCAATAACCGCGCTGATCATGAGCACACAAATATCTATATTCATCGATATTTGCAATTCATAGAACACGTCGAAATACTATTTAAATTGATTTGAGTCGTTTATAATAACGATTAAACTTTAAATGCATAAATAAACATTATCAAGTTTTCTGTTTTATATTAACAACAATTATTATTTATTTTACAGCTGATATAGTTTAACGATAACGCATTACAAAGTATAAGACTGTTGACACATACAGTCATATGTTGTGTTTTGCTAAGATATAAAAAATACTGCGAAGTAGAGAAAATTTGTGTACGATCAACGTTTTTTTTTTTTAAAAAATGTTATACAATTATAACGGCTACGTTATTGAAATCGGAGTTGAGATATTTGTTTTAAAGGATACGAAAACAGACGTGTTATACTGCAGGTATACCATTGCAGGAATACACCTATATATACATATTACATACCCAAGTGGTAACTATAATACGTTATAATATATTACTGTTCGTCTAAATCCTTAAATAATATATATATGAAACCAAAACTCGGCACGTAGGTCTCGAAGAATAGAGGATTTAAAAATTTCGGCAAAGTTCAAACCGTTACCCATGTATAGAAATCTGTTAACGGCCTTTCCCAATCGTTCTTGAAGACGTACGTAAAAACAAACAGCGATTCGCGGTGGTTTGCACCACTTTGTCGGGGTGTCATCACAGTCGGGTCTGGGTACGAGAAGTATACCTTGGCGCATAATATATAGGTAGAGGTATACTCCCTCTTGTACACGCATATTGGTATATTATTCTTAAATATACGCTATACATTAACGGACTGCGCAGTAACGAAATCGTTAGAGTACCACTACCACGGTCGGGCGGTATAGCAATATCGCGAAAAAAGTCTCTCGACCGCACGTACATACCTACGACCTACCGTATACATACATATATATATTATACTAATATATACCTGCACGAGCGATCCGTTAACTGTATATAATAAACAATATACAATTATACACAGATTCGGCGTGTTGTCGTTCCGTTGACGTCACACTCATATCGTTATAAAGGTGCAGGGGATGGGGCTCGCGGGGTGTACTTGGCATCCCTAATTCTGAAATCGGCCCACTCACGATTTATCCCGTTTGTCTTTTATCTATTAAGTTCTTACTATTGAATATGTTATGATATTTATTATGTGTACTGTACGATGTCATTATAAAATACATATTGTGAGACTATATCGAAAGGGGCTCGTATGGGGGTGGTCGACGGTCCTCCTCGTCGTGTATGATCATCATCATTACCTGGAGAACAACTGAAAAATAGGGACTCGAGCACCTCCGGGTTTTACACTCTGAAATACACCGATCCCTGCAAATCACTAACACGACAACAGAGATATAAGCACCTATATAAATAATCACACGAACACACACACACACAATATATCGTACGCGATATTAACGCGCAAAAGAAAAGGGTTCGGCCGTGGGTCGCGCGACGACGCTAGTCTGGCGCGCCCGTTTAAATATAGACCGGCGGCGTCGCGCGTCTGGACACCGCGGTCGCCAAAATAACCGCGTCTCGGCGGCGGGGAAACGCTTTATACGGGGACGGGCACGACCGGGCCGGCCAAAGGGGAATCTCGTCGGCAGCGGGCGATGGAGGAACCGCTCAGGGGCAGGGGAGTGGGTGTATGGTGACGACGGTTTAGTGAAGGTGTACAGGGGGGGGGGAGATAAAAAGACTAGAAACGGCGCGCCGCACTCACTTCATATAGTAAATCTGTCCCTCTGGCGTCCGGGCCTGTTCCCAACCCTGCGGCAGCGGGCCAACAACTCGTCGATGGTGCTGGAAATGTCGTAGCTGCGCTGTTTGGCGTGATGCTGCTTCTGCTGCTGCATGGCCGCTCCGACGGCATACGTCTGCTGCAGCGAGGCGGGCGAGCTGTGCGCGCGCGAGTGTAATGGAACCGGCCCTGAACACGACGGTCCCGCGTTTGCAGTGCCGAACGCCGAGTCGCCCGAGTTTTCGCGGCTGTGCGATATAGACGGCGACTTGGAGCCCGTCGATGGAGGGTTGAAGAACGACTTGGGCAGCTGTCGCATGCGCAACGGTAACTGGAGCGGCTTTTTGCCGTCCGGCTTCAGAACCGTGTCGAACAGCGCCTGTAAGTCTGTTTCCGAGTTCTGGTCCACCCGGACTACCAGGTTGCTGTTGACGCCCGACGGAGGGCTGCTCGGTCCTATCGGTTCCATTTTGATGCTCACCTGTTGGTGCTGTTCCTGTTGCTGCTGCTGTAAGCCGGACATGCTGACGTCTTCGGGGGGCGCAGGTCGTGTTTGGTCGATCAGCTGCAGCCGCCGCTGGTGCACATCAAGCTGCAATGGTGTTTCCGATGCACAGGTATACCGGCCACAGAGGAGTATATTATTAGATCGTATTATATATAATAGGAGGTAGTAATAATTACGATATAATATTACAGCGATATAATAAAAATAATAATAACAACAACAACAAAAACAACCAACAATAACAAAAACGCCTTCATCCACTACGTCTGTTTTCCACCTGCAGTCACCGCGGTTATAATATAGTTTCTAAACCATTAATTTTAGTATCGACTGCTCGGTCACGTTTCGAACAAATATTATTTTCAATTGTAAGTACAATAATATCGGGATATACGTTTTTATTATTTTCGACGACGTCACAAACGCGCATTCACCGACGGGCTCGGACGGACCGAACACAAACGCGTTCACTCCAAAACTGTCTGGCGAGTAGCAACTGGGACTGGCTGGCGCAACTAGTATCAGCGCAAGCCGCACGCACGCACCGCACAAGCGGGCCGCCGCCGTCTAAGCGGTGGGGACTCCTCGACATGTCGGGCGCAGTGTAACCGCATACCGGCACGCGGCCCGCGCCGCTCATGCCGTCGGGCCACCGCAGTTTTGGATGCACTGCCCCGGTGTGGAGCACCGCACCGCGCGCGTGTAGTGCGTAGTGGTGTAGTGTGTAGTGTGTAAAATTACGATGTTCTACGAGGTTTGATTCATCGGCCCTTGCCGCCCAACGCCACTACACCGGTGCGGGGCGCGCGCGTGCGATTCACACCGTCCGGCCGCATAAGAGAGGTCATTCATAAACAGACGGCGGCGGATTTCGTCCAATTACACGAGTCGCATACGGTTGCTGCAGTTGTTAAACGTATACAATATAAATTACGTCACTGCATTTTATTTATTGGGTTTTTTCCCCGCGCTTGTGTGTCTCCACCGTTTTATCCTCGATCTGTACGCGTGCTGTCCCATTCGGAAGTCTTCGAGAGCAATTTTTTTTTCCATTTCTATTTCCGCCCACTGCAATAGATCCGGTTAGACATTATGCTCGACACACGTGCAAGTGTATATTATTATTATTATTATTATTTATTACTATCCTTACAGTATTTATTATTTTATGTTATACATTTACACTACCCATATGCATAATAAGGCACAACTATGACTATACATTTTTGAGGTGCTAAAATTATACAAATTACATGAATCCTTTACACACAATATTTTTTTTAAATAATAGTAAAATATATCAATCAGTTGTATACAATATTAATAACGATTATATATAGTTGTTATAATAACAATCTAGATTAAAGAAATCCTGTCTTCAGTGGCGCAAATGTATTATTGATAATATCTTCAGTTTTTGATTATTTGTCAATATTTTTTCAATATTTAACAGTGATATAAGTTTGAATAAATCGTTCTGCCAGAGCCATGCTAGTCTGTAGGCATTTAACAAAATATTTGACTGTGTTAAGCACTTAGCCGTATTTAAGATTTTGCCTCCCTTTAGCAATAACATTTTGGCACCCGCGACTTTGCTTATGATGAATTTTTCATAATTCAGTATTTTTACACAATATTTATTATCCACCAAAAGTCAAAAACAACTGTCTTGTGATTACTAAATAAATAATTATAAATTATATATCATAAAAAACTACTATGGAAGACTGAATTATATTATATTAATATACACATAAAAAAATGATGTGACACTGCTCTTTTGCAGAGTTCAATAATATTTATATACCTATTTTGTTATAAAATAATAAAGATTTTTTATAAATCTAAAATTATTATTTTATTTTTTAAAAGTATTTCTATAGCATAATATTATAATATGGTACAAGCAACAAGCCTCAAGGTATAACTATAGGGATTTGTGTTATTCAATTTAGTATTTAGAAAAAAGAGATAATTTAAAAAAAAAAACGTTCACTTCACCGAAAAGATATTCAGAGATTGTAGATTAGGAACTAATATTACACAAATTTATTTATATATTTTAATTTATAATTTTCCACTGCATATTCGACAACATCGCTTTACTTTTTTATAGTAGCCCCTAACATTTGCCATGGTGGGCTATTGCCCTCCTGAACGGGTAAGGTCGAATTGCACTTATATAATAGAGACTGGATTCAAGTTCAAAAAGTTTCAACAAAAATATCATACATGAATGGGCTAAAGATGTTGAAAATACTCATTTCCCCTCCTATTTACAGGCTTAGGAGTTAGGAAGTGAAATGATTGAAATCATTGGCGTGGTTAAAAATGAGTTTTCGTAAATATTATATATACAGAGTGTCACGTACTCACGTGAGGATATGCCCATTAGCCATAGGGGTGGACTCGCCGACCGGCGGGAAAAGTGCCTCGTTAGATATATAAGTCACTAAATTATTGAACGGCGTTATTTTCTGGAATAGTAGACAAATATGTACAAATATAATAATATAATTTAGTATCTCAAGAAAAACCGAGCATTTGCTATTTTTCAAACACATCTGTTATAGACACTGCAGTTCTATATGACAATACGACTTTCTTATATTTTCTACAAAAAATAATTTCATTAAATAATATATTATATTAATTGTAATACCTATATAAAATTTGAAAGTATAAACAATAATAATTAGTATGCCAATGATTACATTTACGAGGAAAAGAAGTTAGAGTTTTACAAACGTTTCAATTAACTTTATTTTTTGAACATTTTTGTTGATAACACTTTTTTGAACCCGAGTGCAGTTCGACCATTTAATTTGGGTAAAAATTGCAAGTCGATAGGAACTAACATAAGTAATTTTTTTTACCGTGTATGAACTTACATTTATCACTTTTCCGCAGTGTAGGAACTAATATATTTATTTTTGTTACCGGCTAGGTCTCGTGTAGGAACTTATATTCGCCTAGTTGCGTCTAAAGCCTAAATGTATAATAGGAGCCAGGAGGTACCTGGTGCATATTGTATCTCGTCTTCGGACAATGATCTCCGATCATATTATTGTAATTCGTAAATCGATGGCGTCCTACCACAATATTGCATAAAACATTTTATATGCCATAATATATAATGAGATAATCCACAGTTCATATCATTATTAGAGTTTAATAATATATATAGTTCATCAAACCACGTGGGCTCGTTTCCCGTGACCGTTGATTGACACGCATCGCTGCAGTAATCGGAGATTTAGTAATATGATTATTTGAAAATTAACCTTCGTTTAAGAACGATCGATGATAAATTCAACAACGGACGGTGTACGTAGACAAGTATAATAATTACGCCCATATATAGTATAATATATTATAGTGTTAATAGTTATAGTTGTCGTCTCGCGTGCATTTGCTTCGGTGTCGGTGACGAGGAAATCTAAAAAGGCAAGCAGAGTTGTAGCAGTCAGCAGACACAGACTTAATATTAATTATTGATTATTAAACATATACACCTAAACGGCTAAACTTATCAGATAATATTATAATATTGTGTTCCATGTAGTAACCGACGCTTGCGCCGAAGTAAAGAAGCTCGAAATGTTTTTAAGGCGTTGTGTGAAATATGTAGTACAAACATTGTAAGTAATAATATCACCTGCAAACGTATATATACAGAGATATTTATACATACACAAGTAATCTGGTAATCCTTATAGACCTAACAAACATTGAATTTCTTTGAGTTAGGTAGGTACCTACATAATATTCACTCAAGGTCGTGGGTGGATCAGTTTTTCGGGAAGGGTTTTATATTTAACCTCATTGTATACAGCTGGAAACGAATAACTGTAATACATTGTATAGTTATAGTGGGTAAAGGTATTTCGGTATATTTGGTAAAGTGAAATATGTCAATGATAGGTATACAATGTTGAAATTTAAAACCATTGAATATTTATGAATATTTACTCAATTATTACTGTGGTGTCGATAATAATATACAAATATAGGTTAATATATTATATGTACACCTTAAAAATTCTTTAGGAATAGTCTCCAGGATTATTGTTTTTTAAAGAATAACTAAATTACTAAAACTAATTCTGTTAAAAAAAAAAATTTATTACTATGTAATAATATTGTTTCTCTCAATACCTAATACAAAATACAGTTAAATAATATAATATGGTTTGCCATATAGTACTCGTCGGAGATAAAGTTTTTAGTGATATGCTGCATGTTGTACCTATTTAATTATTTATTTACACAATTTTACTATGGGTACCTACGTTACAATATATAATCACTGGCGTGAATAAGGGAATGCGGAAAATTCAGCTTCGTTGGGGCTCTAGAAGGCCAGGAGCTTTTCTGTCAGTTTAAAACAGCAATAGAAAAGGTCCTTCCAGAATACTGAGTATTTGTATTTATAAAAAGGAGCTCCTTTCGTATTATTTTGCATCTGAACAATCTGGTCATTTGGCATCTAATAAATTTAAAAAGCATTTTGAATTCTCCTTATCACATGTAGGTAATGCAGGTAGATATACTTTCGCCGCGGAGCCGGTAAATTGCGTCCCCCAAAAAAGGTCATAGTTATATACTACGTAAATTGCGGCCCATGTACTTTTAAAACATGCGTAAATTGCGTCCGGAATATATTTGAAACGTACGTAAATTGCGGCCCGGGTATATTTGAAATGTACGTAAATTGCGGCCTGGGAAACATTTATACATGACAAAACAAAACAAATTACTACGTTAGACTATGTGCGAGAATTGTCTTACAAATTTTTACCAGTTTCTTAATTACAAATTGCTTATAATAAATTAATTTAATAATACATTTTTTAACTATACACATTTTTACAGACACATTATTACTAATTGCTAATAATATATCTTTTAATTAAAAACAAAAAACAGCAAAACCAATATTGATACAATTTTATTGACAGTCCTAAGTCTGAAAAATGAGAAGGAAAATATTGATTTTGCAAAAAAAGGCTTAG